GTCTCTGGCCTTTATCATTCCTGAAAACAAGGGTAGCCCTGTAAAGACCCAGAAAGCAGAAGGCACAAGAAAAAGTAAAAATGCAGTAATTTTTTTTTATCCTTTGAGATCTAGGCAATCTCATGATTTTGGAGGTGCATGACTCATGCTCACATACACTCAGAGAGCATAGTGCTGTCAATCTCGTTTGATTTCAAGTTGCCTCCCTCCAGGGAAATGATGCTCTCTCACTCCGGGAGTCTGACTGAACATGCAATTTGTACAACGTGCACGGGCTTTTAGCTGTAGCTCTTACCCGCAGTCTGTAGAGAGACAAACACACTTGTCCGCACAGGATGCCTGGCAGGAAATCGGTCGCCACAGTTCTCAAAGCTGTGTGATACGGTCTTTTAAATGCACCCAGTCGGTGCTGTCTCTTTCTTCCTAATCCCATGTAAGTGTTCTTTGTGCCTTTCCCAAAAACCCCTGTCAGCTTTGGACCTCGTGCTCCCCAGGTACTAGTGCAGTGCGTGGTATGCCAATCAGTACGATCAGAACTGGGTCTCGCGCAGCAGTGGTGTTGTTAATGGCTTCTCAGCCACATTTTCTCTTCCGCTGGGACTGTTGTATCAACATACTGATATGTACGCTGGAAATGCAACTCATGTCAGAAAGCTCAACTCTGGACTTGCCCGAGGAATTTAACATGGTTCACTGGAAGATGTTACTGGATGCTTTTTTTCTGGTCCTTCTTTATTACAAGCAGCTTAAAAATACTCGGTGACTCAAGTATTCATTGTCAATGTGCATGACATTGAATACACTCAACTGCAAGTGATGTTGAATCTACCATTGACTGTTATCTCGTGGAAGAAACATTCTGCCTTAAGGCAGTGAAATAATCTGATTCAGTTTTTTTTTGTTTCAAATACTACTTTTTTTTTTTCCCAGTTTAAATAGAGTTGAGAAATAGGATATTTGCTAATAGGCATTTGCCACAGTACAGAGGGAGGTGTACTGGCTTCCATGTCAGGGAAAAGTCAGCATCACAGCCATGAGTAGTAGCTGCGCTGTATTTTTATACCAGTCTCCTGAGAGCTTATTAACCCACAATTCTAAATTTTCACTGAAAGTTTATACTTCCACCACAGTTCTAAGGAAAATGTGTGTAAGGTTAAATATTTTGGGGAAAACACATCCAGAATGCTACGTGTCCAATATTTATTGACTTTAACACACAAAATACTAATATTAAACACACTTTTGGTTGTCAAAATTAAGAAGTTTCATAATTAATAAGCAACTTTCACAGGAGGTAGTCTCTAGAAACTTGTTTGCTCCTCTAAATCATAAATAGGAAGACTTTGCAGATGTCCCCGTTATCCCTATGATCCTGTGAATTTCAAAGTAACTGAGGCAGGATTTCCTCTGAGAGCCTTTCCCCCTGCACTGCTCTCCTGTGTGGAGGGGCTGCTCTGTTGAACATAATCATGTTTATTTGTATAGACTGTACAGAAAATGACATCCTATTGATTTCAAAGGGGTTATTTTTTGATGATATGCTTTTTAAAAGTGAAGTGTAAAACTGGAAGGAAATAGCTATGAAGAGCAGTCATCAGTGAGATGTTTAAACTCAGTGTGATTACCTGCCCAAATTCTGCAGACCACCAGAGAAATGGCACTATTTCAGTTTCAAGTACAAGGATGGGGCCTGCTAGTGCAATAGCTGATTTATACATCTTGGCCAGCTACTGTAATCTCTCTTAAAAGGTATCTACATATGATCAACCCTAAGAAAATGAGGCTGCTTTAACTAGTTGTATAAGTGTGGATTTACATGCTTATTTTTAGGTCTGAAATTGCAGTCAGAGGATTGAAAGGGGGTGCTCACTGTCCCCTCATTGGGAATGAGGGCTGGTGACACGTAGAGCCGGCGGCCACCCCTCACCCGCACCCTGTGACCCAGGAATCAGGCATCTCCCATACACCGAGTATCAGCATTTACAGATACCGGGTTAATGTTTTAACCTCTTCTTGACATGTCCCCTGCCCTTTTGAGTCACAGGACCTTTCTTCTCCCTCCCTTTCTGCTAATTGTCCCAGTTGACAGTTAGCAATAACGGCTATTGGTGTTGCAGTGCTTGCTCAGCAGTGCAATTTCCTTTCAGCTCTCTTTTCAAGGAAGTGAAACCACTTGATGTATTTTTGCATTCTGAGGTGCCAAAGCAAGATGAAGCATGCAGGCAGGAGAGAAAGGTAGCTGAGAAGAACTGCTGCTATGGTGAGGGGGAAAAACCCATGTTCACTCCCTGATAGCTTCTGACAGTGTTCCAAAGCGCATGATAAAGTGCCTGTTGGATTTAGGGGACTAAATAAGCCTCAGGCCAGTCTTCACCTCTGGTATTTTGTCTCTTTTTCTGCTGTCAACGTTAACAATTACAATTCCACTTGATGAACAAGTAAGTAATTTTTTTTTTTAAGGAAGTACGTATGTTCAGTCTGAGGAGCTCTATAATCTTACTGCTTAAACTCAGTTTTATTTGAGCAATTGACTGTGAAATACAATGTAGGTCTTTTTGCCATTGGTAAAGCGGAAAATTCTGATTGTAAAATACAAACAGTTTGCAAGTTCCTTTTTGGATTGACTGAAACACTGAAGAATGAAATTTACATATTTAGCAATTAAATTAGAACATATGTAATAACACAGGGGAAATGAAGCTGACTTACGGTGTATTGCAGAGTAGATAGAAAAGCCGTGCTGAGTAGTCCCTGATCTTGGACAGTTTTTAGAGAAATGCCATTAAGAGTTTAACACCTCTTGTAAGTGAGCAATTCCTGCTTTGCTTAGCAATGGCAATTACACGTCGAGGTCCATTTTGTCAAATGTTAAATTACATAAAACTGTAAATTTTTTAGAAAACTGCCATGTTTTCAGTTTCTTGAAGTTGATATTCTGTTAGAACCATATCTGAGTGTTTGTGTAACTTTCTGGAGGCAGGTTGTATGGATTTCTGTTCAATTACAGTGGAGCACTCTGTGATATAATATTTCATAAGAACAACTACAGCATCCTGGGAAAGAAGATTTTAAAACATGTATAGTATGGGGGGGTGTCTGCAAATTTATGGAATATACTTTGAAACAGCAACTGCTATTAGTATGAACATCTGTATATCTGTGGAGTGTCAGAAAGAAGACACGAGCAATTAGTAAATTGGAAGACTTTAAGAGATAAAAGTTATGAAAGAACAATTGATATTGCTGTTTTGAAGGAAAAAACCTCATTCATCTGTAGATCTTTGTAAAGCATTGGCTGCTCAGTTCTAGTATTTGACCATCCTTTGAAATACTTTGATTAGTTTTATTTGAATAGTTAACAGTTGCAGTTTTATATTTAAAAACACAAAAAGAGAATCAAATACTTTCAGTTCAGATTGAATGCTTAGTATCTTTAATGTCTTCTTGTATCTCTGTGGTTGAGAAATGTGTCCATCTTGTGATCTTGAGTGCTTTGCCCAAGAGAGTTAACAATGGGTTGTTTGATTTTTGAGTGTCCTCATGGAGTAAAGATTTTTAAAAATTCACTCAAACACTTCATGCTTCAAAACAAAATAGAGGTATGCACTGAAAGTCTTAACAAACCTGCTTGAAAGTTTCTGAGATGGCAAAAAAGCAGCTTGTTACTAAGTTTCTCAAAGGTACTGTTGTAGAAAAATTACAGATTTATGTCTCATATGTCCTGAAGGACAAGTTCCTTCTATTTCCTGGAACCCCAGAGGCAGCGGGCATCTGAACACACCCAGCTGCCCAAATACAAACAGTTAAGAGTAAACCTTTTCCAAATTCAGGGACTTATGGTTTGGCATCTGCAGAGTTTATGTTTTCATTAAAAGGGGGAGGGGGGAATGTTTCCAGGCCCTGTGTTTGCAAAGCAAACCTTCCATATGTGAATTAAATATAAGCAGATGAAACTTTCCTTCAGCCTGAGACCCCAGGAAGTCTGTAGCATAAAGGCAGCCATCCCCCCAGACTGCTCAACCTGGAAATATGAATCCACATGTGACTTAGTGGAGAAGATGCTGCAAAGGGAATGTGCTGTAAATAATCGTCACTGGAAACAGAACATGAGCAGTACCATTTCACAAAACAAGTCTGTGAAAGAATGTTTGGGAGTTTTAAGTGTCTGAAGAAATTACAAACCAGTCATTGGGTATATTGGTGCAAGCAAGCATACTTCTGGAGGTGGAAATATGTTCTAGAATCTACTTTATTGGTCACAGAAGAGTTTCTTTATAAGGTTTTGCTAGCAAGTGTTACGGCAATCCCTAGACTGTTCATTTCTGGCTATTTCTGCATTAAGTATAGGACATAGAAGTGTTAATCTGTAGCTACTTTCCTTCTGAAAACTAGCATCTTCATATTGCACCCAGAGTATCAGTATTGTTTGCTGACAAATGATTTTTGTGTTGTATTATTTTTTTATATATGTGTGTGTATAAATATATTTATATATGGGATCTGAATTTACTGATCCTGTAAAATGCTAAGCAGGAAAAAGTTTTACAATAGTCAATTTACTGAATTACTATCTCTAATTGAGTAGCAGTGGTAATTTTCATGACACTGGGATAGTCATGGTTTCAGATTTCATTATGAATATCAGAATCAGATCAGACTCACAACTCATCTGATCAAATAGGGCAGCTTTATTGCCTCAATTCGAATGCCATCAGTCCATATATAGAGATTTTAAACCATTTTTGAGCAAATTCTATCTCATTTTGTGTTTTCTCAAAAGTAAAACAATCTTAAAGAGTGTAAACCTACAGGCAACAGAGTATTAGGGATTGAAAAAAATGGGTTTTTCTGCAACTACATACATAAGTTTGCATTATTTTTTGTGGCAGTTAGTAGGACTAACGTTAATGGATAGACATGGAAATATTCCCCAACTTACTGTCCATAGTATGTCTGCTATGAAATATGATTGTATACTTTTTTTTTTTTCCCCAGTGGCCACAGATGTCTTCAACTCCAAAAGTCTGGCCATTCAGGCCCAGAAGAAGATCCTTGGAAAAATGGTGTCCAAATCAATAGCAACTACTTTGATCGATGATACAAGCAGTGATGTTCTAGATGAGCTCTACAGAGTGACAAAGGAATATACACAAAACAAAAAGGAAGCAGAGAAAATCATCAAAAACCTCATTAAAATAGTCCTCAAATTGGCAATTCTCTACAGGAACAACCAATTTAATCAGGATGAAATAGCGTTGATGGAGAAATTCAAGAAGAAAGTTCATCAGCTGGCTAAGACCGTGGTCAGTTTCCATCAGGTGGATTATACCTTTGACAGAAATTTTTTGTCCAAACTGTTAAATGATTGTAGAGAGCTACTTCATGAAATCATTCAGCGCCACCTGACTGCAAAGTCACATGGACGTGTCAACAATGTGTTTGATCACTTCTCTGATTGTGAATTTTTGGCTGCCTTGTACAATCCCTTTGGACCTTATAAACTCCATTTGCAGAAACTTTGTGATGGTGTCAACAAAATGCTAGATGAGGGGAACATATAAGTACTTGACTGCCTATGCATTATTTGTAGATGGAACACTGTTGATTTATGAAGGAATAAGGGAGCATGTGAAAAGGGTTTTTTTACATTATGACAAATATTTCCAAAATATCTTTATTAAATTGATTCCTTACTATGAGCTATCTGTTGCTATTCACAGTCCATCTGGAAGAAAGACTGCACATGGTTTTTTTTACTGTGCTTTGTCTATTGAAACAGCTGGATAAAGACAATAGAACAGTCTAAGTAGAGTAAGAGTCTTGCAAGATAGATACACAAAACAAAATAACTTGCTGTTAGACAATCCAAAACTTTCATACATTTACAGAATTATTTCTAAACTATTAGAGTCCAGTAATGTTAGTAACAGGCTATTATGGTGATGGTACAGTCTATAATTTCTTTGACTTATTTGTAAAATATATATTCAATTCATTTATAGTCTTTTATGCTCTCTGCACAGATCACAACTTCCTAGTGTTGCCCTTATGAAGCATTCAGTTTTAAGTAATATCAGTGATGCTGTCATGTAGAGTCTTAACGGGCTTGTTCACCTCCAGCTCAGTGGTGAAAACTTCTGTCTGCAAGGCTACCAAGTATAGATCCTTATACACCTGCACAGATGCTTGCTTCCTTTGATTATATGGGGATTATTTGAGGAATAAGCTACAGTACAATAGCATAACTGGGGAAAACTATTCCCTAGAAAACACTTGCGGTACGAAATTTTAACTTTGCCTATGATAAGGTGACTTACCTGTGCAATTCCTTAAGATATTTAGAATACTGCTAATAGGTCATAGTTCTTTTTGGCAAAGTGTGAGTCAGTATATTGTATACACTAGGCTTATGTGTATGATGATGTGAATTCAGAAAACTTAATCATCTGAAAATAAATTCCAAGCCTGTTTGCTTTGTGTACAATGAAACTAGAAACAGAAATTAGTTTTATCGTTGCGTTATATACTATTTAACTAATGGAAAAATGACATCTTGAATAAATTTTTTTTTCTTCTTCTTTTCTCTCCTCTTACCTTTCATCCTTCTTTTCCTCCCTCATCTTCTCCCTTCCTTGTCCTTGGGGATAAAAAAAATGTGACTTTCTAGACACTGTAATGTACTTAAAAGCATGAAGTTAATACATTTCAAACATCCGAAGACTTTTTGTTAGGAAGCATATAAAGATTTTTCTGTTTATTTAATTGCTATTGTTTTTGCTGTTTGCTGTGTCCTTTTGTTTTAATGAGTAAACCAAAGAATATTTGCACTCCGAACTTTTCATGCCTTTTTTTTTTCCTTGTTGCGTTTTAAGTTATAAAGAGCAAACTTGGCCTGTGGCAGCAACAAAAGCATCACAGCCTCTGATGTATGGTTTCAGCATTACTTGCAATTTTTTAAGCGAGAAAATTCACTTTTATTCATGTTTCTTTGGTCACCACATTCTGAATATTCCCCGAAAGGTTCCAGAAATGTGTGTTCAAAATGTGAACTCATGTTATACAAGCCACTAGTGTCTACCAGACAGAAGATTAATGTACAACTGGGCTGGAACAGCTAGGAATTGATGTAAGGATAGTGCACCAGAATTTTACAAGAAATAGATTATTAGCTTGACATCTGAAGGAATATAATTTATGATTCCTTCCCATGTTTTACCTAAACAGTAAATACATTGTACTTTTGTCCATCAGAAGTCATGTGTAGGAATGCAACATGTATTTGCTCCACCTATTTATTTTCTTTTCCCACCTAGAAAGAGAAAGCTGTTTTGTTTCCCAGTTCTTCTCTCTGAGGTGAGAATAGGAAGGAACTTGACTTCTAGAAATTGAAACTGTTTTCTTTACAAATCCTATTTCTAAATCATGTTCTGATTCTCCAAAATAGCATAGTTTATAATAAATGGTAACAGTACTGAAAGGAGGACAAGGCAGTACCTTGTTTAGAACCAGGCAAAATATATGGATGTGCTGTGTAAACCACGGAAGATTTTCTTCAGCCATGATCCAAAATATTTTGACTGCTCAGATTTGAATTTTCTCTGGGACAAAAATTGCTTAAATGGTCCTTGTACATTGTTAATGAACACCTACTTACATGTATATGAGCCATGTTGTAGTCAAAATATGTGTATTTTCAGTAACTTCTTAGTTGCATTTTCTGGCCATATACTTTTTAGAAAAAGTGAAAATTGTTCATGGAGATTTGATTAAAAGCATAAAAACTTGACAAGTGGGAGAAGTTATATTTAGCTCACAATCTAGTTACATTCTTCTAAGATGCTGTAACAATAGTTCTTCTCTGGCATTCATTGTCAATTACAAAGAAGTGACTTCTGTAATGATGAAAGAAAACAATTGTACTGGATTTCCAAAGACCTACCTTTATAAATAACATGACCCAGCACTCAAGCTGTGTAATTTTGCAGTTGATTTATTTTTCCTGCAACATACATAAATAGTGGCTTTAATTATCAAAATTCAGAAATAAATTGATAGTATTTTTCCTTGTAATAAACCATCAACCTTCTAGCAGAAACTTGACATAGTCAAGAGTTTAAAAAAGGTCACAGCAGTAACCTGTTTAATTATGGGTAGGATAATGTCATTATTCTGTGCTGTAACAGTAGTGCAACACTGTGTTTTAATAGGGTAAAAATTATTAATATATTAAAATCCAATCATCATGGATTCATTTTACAATAGGCTTTTAAATCTCAGTATCTTAGGTGTTTCATATTTCTAATGCCCTTTTAATGTTTAGTTAATATGTAGTGCCCAATGCCATCCCAAATACATGTTGGTGAAGTTGTAGAAGTTAAAACGAATGTTACAGCCTTCTGTAGGAGTTGAAAAAGTAGTAAGACAGACCTTAAATACCTTTTGCAATACACATCAAACAACTGTGACCTCAGCCATACAAAGAAAACAAGATACAGGGGTGTTATCACAGCTGTTTTGTGCATGCCACCTTAAAAGGAATTCACTACAACTTTTTGCCACCCCTTAATTATGTTTGTATGCATTTGTGTGTATGCATAGACAAACAAAAAGACACCACTGGGTAAATTATGAGTCTTGTTCTTGTCCTTAAGCTCTCTTGAGATTTATCTCCATGTAGAAGGTACAGAGATTATCAGGAGTCTGGAAGCTTTCAGCAACTGGTGTGGGGTTGGTTTTTTTTTTCTTTAGGAAAATACCAAATCATGTCTCTTCTAAAAAAAGATTCAACCCCACCCATAAAACAAATTCCTGTGAAATAAAGGAATGAGAAGATGGCCAATTGCTTTCTCGTATCTCTCTCTAAAAAGATTGCATTGTCCCAAGGAAGTAGCAAACGGGTTTTGATGGCAGTTGGCTCCAGTTGCTTTCCAGCCCCTTTTTGTAGTTGTAATAGCTACAATGTGACCATTTAAAGGTAAAATGGAATTGTGCATGTCACTCTTCAAAGGATGAGAACATGCTTATTTTCATGGTCTAGCAGAGAGGAATCCACACTACTCCTAAGTAAATCCATCATTGTCAAAGATGACAGTGTTATAGAGGATGGCGGCTAAGTTGCACATGGTACTAGCTTAGATGATCTACCTATGATAAGTGTTCACCATCTGGTGACCTGCTACAATAGCTTTCCTGTGGCCTTACGTGGTTTTCCTGCCCTTCAGAGCAGCAGAACTACTCTTCACATAGATCTATTCCTTCCCTACCGTTTTTGCCCCAAGGTTATATTACATTGTGTATGCATCTAAGGAGAACAGTAGATAGAATCACAGAATCACAGAATGGCAGAGGTTGGAAGGGACCTCTGGAGATCATCTCATACAAGCCCCCTGCTAGAGCACGATCACCTAGAGCAGGTTGCACAGGGTCGTGTCCAGGAGGGTTTTGAATATCTCTGGAGAAAGAGACTCCAACAACCTCTCTGGGCAGCCTGTTCCAGTGCTCAGTCACCCTCAAAGTGAAGAAGTTTTTCCTCATGCTGAGATGGAACTTCCTGTGTTCCAGTTTATGCACATTGCCCCTTGTCCTGTCACTGGGCACCACAGAAAAGAGTCTGGCCCCTTCCTCTAGACATCCACCCTTCAGATATTTATAACCATTGACTAAACAGACCCAGCTCTCTCAGCCTTTCCTCATACCAGAGATGCTCCAGTCCCCCAGTCATCCTCATACCCCTCCACTGGACTCTCTCCAGTAGTTC